AAGGTCTGCCTGCAAAGGACTGCTGCGGGCAAGCAGCCGCTCTTTCAAATCACGAAGCTACCCGAAGTGCGACAGTAACATCAGACGATGTTTGAAAAGTTTGCTCTGCAACTGTCTCGCATCTCCAAGCTTTTAGAATCTGCTTATCGTACCAGTTACACACGCTAGACCCTCACACAGAAGTTCCGTCTAAAATGTCAGCGTGCCCAACGCCAACTTCGGACCAACAAACACGCGAGAAGAGTTATTGGGGATAATATTGGGATAATGGAAAAGAAAATGGAAACTACTACAATGGGGTTATATAGGGTTTATATAGGGATTTTAGGTTTGCCGACTTCGCGGGCTCAGTTTCCACGGCCTGACGGACGGTGCATGAGCATTACATACGCATCATTTTGCGCAACTCCAACCCAACCTGATGACCATAGAAGTGATTCAGTAAAGTGAGCTCACCAGTAACAATAGCAATAGCAATCATAATAGCGATAGTAGTGTAAGGAGAGCAACAGTAGAAATAACAATAGTGATAGTAATAGTGATAGCAATAGTCCCTAGTCCCCCAATAATCACAGTGATAGCAGTGCAATAAGTCGCAATAATACTGACAATTATGATAACAACAGTAACATTAACAAGAGAGCGATAGTTGTAATGGTATCAGTGATAGCAAGAGTAACCCGGACACCCTAAAGGATCCACAAACATGGAAATGGAATCCCCCCCAAAAAGAAAGCCTCCGTTACTACATTGGGGAACCTAGGGAATGATTAAGGAATTAAGGGGTTCAATTTTTTGGATCCTTCAGGGGGTCTGGGAATAATCCCAACAGCAGCTTCCTTGGCCAGGCCCTTTCGCGCACGTCGGCTTCTACGGAACAGCAGTGAGAAGGACACTAGCCTTGACTTACTGGGGGGGTTTAGCGTTTAGGGTTAGTAGGGAATGAGGGAACATATTACAGGGATTATATGAGGAGTAGACAGGGAATAAGGGGATATAGGATTTGGGGTGTGGGGTTAGTCAGGAATAAGGGAATATAATGTATCGGGATTTTATTGGTATTTTCCCTGATTCACTACTGGCAACCAGTAAGTTGAAAAGAAAATAGCGATGAAATAGTCAGCCGGTGAAGCGTGGCAGTTCTCATCTGAGCTGCGCAGCTAATTACCCAAAAGCACGACTGAAAGTCATGGACACCTGTATCCCAAAAACCCATCAGTGGCAGCATAGTCAAGAAGTTCCGACAGGGATGTGGCAACTGTATAATCTCAGCGTCCATTTCATTTTACATGGTCTTCTTCATTTGGTTCACCACCAGGGGGGGGAATTTCCCCCTAAACCCTCAACCCTTGGAATCCTATGAGGTAGTTTCCCAAAATAAGGGGACCCCAATATAGACCCCAAAATACTATAATCCTTATTATTGGGGCCCCTAAAAGGTACCCCTAATTTTGGGAAACCCCTATGAGGCCTCGAGAGAGCCATCTCCTGGCCGGGCCACACCGCCTCCATCACTCACCCCACTTCCACCAGATGCTCCAGGGTGTGAGCCTCAGAAAGAATCAGATTGCTTAAGGTTTAGGGTTTAGGGTGTAGGGGTTATATTGGGGTTATATAGGGATAATGGAAAATAAATGGATAACTACTATAGGGTTGAGGGTTTAGGGTTATATTGGGGTTATATAAGGATAATGGAAAAGAAAATGGAAACTACTATAATGGGGTTATATAGGGTTTACTAAGCAAAAGCTTCAACAACATGCAGAAGGAGTGCACCAGACTTTCCTTTCCATGATCCCAAAATCAATCCCTATATACTACAAGAGTTTCCATTTCAGTTTCGACATTATCCCTTGATGCAAGAATGTCTTGCCTTTTGCTAGCTTTCCCTAGTTACGTCTGATTCGCAGATACAGAAAAAACTATATAACCCCAATATATACCCAATAATCCTTATATAACCCATTATAGTAGTTTCCATGTTCTTTTCCATCATCCCAATATTCCCCCTATAGAACCCCATAATCCCTATGTAACCCGCTATAGTGGTTTCCATGTTCTTTTCCATTATCCCTATATAACTCCAATATAACCCCTAAACCCTAAACCCCAATATACTATAGTAGTTTCCATTTTCTTTTCCATTATCCCTATACAACTCCAATATAACCCCTAAACCGTAAACCCTAAACCCCAATATACTATAGTAGTTTCCATTTTCTTTTCCATTATCCCTATATAATCCCTTTCTATACCCTAGAATCCCTATATAACCCTTTTATATAACCCTTATTATCCCTGTAGCTTCCATTTTCTTTTCCATTATCCCTATATAACCCCAAAGCCTAAGGCTCCAAGCCGGGCGCCCTTCCAGCGCCTCCGTGCTGACACCCGTGCGGCACAAGCCCATAGGCATGAGCAGCTGGTGCTTAGTATAGGCTTAGTAGCTGGGTAGGTAACCTTTAACCTTTTGGGGTATATATAGTCCTATTATAATACAAAGGTTAACCTTTTTGGGGCCAGGGAACTCAGCAACTAGGTAGGGAACATGGGAGTGTATTATATAGGGATATAGGAATAATATTTGGGCTATACAGGAAGTATGTAGAGAGTATATAGGAATTATATAGGGATTATATTGGAACAGCACAAGAAAAGTCTGCAGCATCTCGGGCGCAGCATGTCAAGCATCGGCAGGCTTGCTTCCACGCAGGGCCTTGCTTCCCCCTGCACGGTTGGAACCTCAAAGGTTGATGGCCCTACTGGTTTAGGGTTTGGGGTATATTGGGGTTACATAGGGATCTATAGGGTTATAAAGGGAGAATGGAAAAGAAAATGGAAACTACTATAGTACTACTGCACTTATCCGAATATTGGGGTTGTATTGGGATTAGATTAGGGTTATATTGGGGCTATATTGGGAGAATGGAAAAGCGGATGGAAACTACTAGAGTATAATGGGTTATATATGGGGTAGTCATACAATGCTTCAGTTTTTGTGGCTCCTGTGACGCTGCTCCCACATCGTGCAAACAGCAGCCATCGAATACCAGTGGTCACTTGAGTAGCACGCTTAACTCTAAAGCCCTAAACCCTAAACCCTAATAGCTGCCGCTACAGCTCCTACCTCTAACGGTTGGCAGCTTGTTGGATCCTTTGCGAGTCTACTCGGAGGGTCAGGGGAACTGAGTAAGTGGGTTAGCAGCCCCTGTAACCCATATAGTCACCCTAGTTATCCCCATTGTTAACCTACTTGCTATAGTCCCCCTGAAGTAGATACATACCCTATTGTAATATAGTAGTTTCCATTTTCTTTTCCATTATCCCTATATAACCCCAATATATTCCCTATATAACCCTTAAGGGGGACTATAAGTCTTTTCTGACTCTCCAAGTAAATCATTCGCACTGCAGCCTCCCTGGACCTTCAGCCTTGGAAACCCGAACCACCTGAAGTTTTGGATTTAGGGTTAGGGGTTTTGGGTTTGTATGAGCTATTTGAGCTATTGTCAATGTTGGCGTCATTAAGGGACTCTTAACAATGGAAATGGGGAGTCCCTCTCGTAGTTTCGTAGAGCCCCTAGTATTGTCCCTGATAGGAAACCATGTCCATTAAACTATGTAGGAAATATTGACTGTAGCTCATACAGGTTTAGGGCTTAGGCCTAAACCCCCCAACCCTAGGGCTTAGGCATATATTGACCCTCCAAAGTACCCAGAGCACTGAAAGCCAAAGTACTGCTCAGTCAGGCAAGCCCAAGTTTCTGCAGTCGAGCGGGGTACTGCCCAGGCCACCGCAGACATGTGAGCACTAATAGACGAACAGGACTGATAGCAACAACAGTGAGAATAGGAATGATAAGAAGAATAAAAATAGTGCGAATAGCATTGATAATATCAGTAGGAGTAATAGTCATGATGCTAGTAGTGTTAACAGTAGTACTAATAATAATGAATAGTGAAAAGTAATAGCCAGTAGTAATAACAGTAGTACTAATAGTAATGAATAGTGAAAAGTAATATCTTTTGCCAGAATCAGTAGCCATCCAATGCTCCCTCCAATGCTTCACAGATTTACCGAGCTTCAGCAACCGCGGCACAAACACAAGGCACGTAGTGTTGAGAAGATTCAAGTCACACTCGTAGGCAGATGAAGGAAATTGAGGCAGCAGTTTCACTGTGGTGCGTTCTGCACATTGTATAGAGGGTAGGCACGTGAATGACCCTAAAGGGGCTTTGCCGAGCCGATTGCCAGCTCATAGCCAAGAGATGGTGGAGCTTGTTCTGCCTGGGGGTATAGATAGGGGTTACATTACGGAATATGTAAGGACAATGGAAAAGAAAATGCAAACTACTATAGTGTAATAGGGTATATATCTTGGGAATATTTGGGGATCATGCCATTTGCACGCGACGTTGTGATTGGACTCGCCTGGGAACCCACGTGCCTGAGACCCAGCATTTGGTGTTGATGGATTTGACCCTGGCATCTAGTTTCTGAACATCTGAAGGGCCACAGAATTTGCTTGAGCTGCTGCCCAGCTTTGCACTCCGTGTGGCCTCTTTGGCACAAGACGGCGTGTAGACACGGCATTTGTCGCAATGGCATCAAGACAGGCTTCTGCCTTTGGGGCTTGTGCTTCCTCCGTCGAGTATGGGGATCAGGATTTTCACCCCTCAGCATTTTTGCATTCCGTGTAGGTACCCCCAAGGCAAGGCAGGTCAGAATTCAGATTAAACTGGCGCATGATTCCTAAATCTACCATAAAGCCTGCACGTATCACCTTCTTTTCTTCAGCCTTGAGGAACTGCTGTGACTTCAGAATGCACGCCCTTGCAGGGTGGCATGTCTTGTTGTCTTGGCACCTGTGAAAAACATCCAGCATCAGAATCACAAAGAGATTGCGCAACAAGGCCAAACAAGCCTAGGCGAGGAAGTTGGTGATGCTCATTCTTGTGACATGTGTCTATGCGGAAGCGGGGCTGCAGAACGCAGGCACATGGCTGATCCGGCTTCTGACGGCTGGCCTGCGGGCAAGGCTTTGGGAAACGCAGCAAAGATATAGGCCACCAAGCTGTGTTAGCTGCACCTTTTGCAGGTCTTCGAGGCAGCACCACAAGGCAGGAAAGCTCACATGAGCTACAGTCAAAAAATGTCCTTAAAGGAGGTTATAGAGAAGAGTATATGGGGGAGTACTATAGGGGTTATGAAGGGGGATACTGGCAGTTTAGACTATAGCTCTTATGCTGAGTCTGGTCTGAGCTGCTACAGCACCTGAGTCAGGGTTTACCTATGACGACCTGATCTTCATGCCCCAGCCGACATCCTTCCAAGCCTCCGATGTTGACCTGTCCGGGCACATCACCAAGAACATCAGGCACAGCCGGCATGATGATGTTGAACGGCCATCTGGTAGTTTCCCAAAATAAAGGGACCCCAGAATCTAGCCAAATCCTCAGTCCGTTGCAGTTGAGACGCTCAGGCTGAAGTCGTCGCGTCCATAGTCCGTGCGTGGAAGCAGCAGCAAAGCAACGGTGAAGCTTATAGTCCCCCTTAAGTAGATAGAATATGGGGTATATGGGGATCTTATTATAATATACGCAAAGCCATATTCTATCTACTTAAGGGGGACTATAGCCTTATGGTGCCGAAAGACGAACAGCCTGCAAATTGATAAGGCCAATCATCGGCAGTCCGTCAGACACGGTCACAGAAGCCAATATGGCCATCGCGCTGGCGCTCTCTGGAGCCATGGGCATAATACACGCCAATCAGGACATTGACCGCCAAGCCACATCGCCTAAGAATTCAAGCACGATTTTGATGTTTGTGTGTGCCCAAGGCCTATGAGTAGTAACGTTGTACAACAACACCATGCCTACTTGATAAACAACTGCTTGCCCAGGTTTCTATGGTGCAAGCCGTGAAACGATTTGTTAGCGGATTTGTGTTGGAGCCCGTGGTCATGCGCCCGACTCATTCCCTCGCAGACTTAGACAAGTTGAAGGCAGCCACTGGAATTACAACGGCATCTTGGCTTGACTTGCACATCATGATCCAAGAGCATCATGTCACTCGCACTGCAGTTGTCTCAGGTCATAACCTCTGAAGTTTGATGATACCTTGCGAGCTTGCAAGGTACCAGTCACAGATACCGGTGGACTAGGTGGCGAACTTCTTGGCATCGTGTCATGCCGGGATTTTTTGTACGTGGTTTGCAACACACAAACCGATGTGTGGTGTTAAATGCTGTAGACTTGCCAGCCTGCGAAGGTTACAGCCCGTGACGCAGATCTTTGTGCGGATCGTCGCGAGTATTTGTCACGACTCTCTTCCACTCATGACATCTGTTCAGCTGTCATGCGCCCATGTCTGATTGCTGCTGAAGTGTAGCGGTGTAGCCCAAAATTAGCTTTTTGTAAGCTTGCGTCAACGTCCTCTCGACTATCATCAATTGATGTTGGCCAAGCGGCCAACGCTGCCCGCTAAGGAGTGATGACTGAAAAGGTTATCACGGCAAGAGAGCCCTTGTCCTTCGAAGAAGCGCTCGACACATTGAAGCGAGCCAAGGAGCTGGGTAGTAGAAGGGTTTAAGGTTTAGGGTTTAGGGTTTAAGGTTTAGGGTTTAGGGTTTAAGGTTTAGGGTTTAGGGTTTAGGGTTTAAGGTTTAGGGTTTAGGGTATTTTATTTGGGGATACTATGGTACCCAATATTACCAAATAATGGAGAATCAAAAGGAGAAGAAAATGGAAAATGAAATGGAAGCTGGGATTATATAGGGGTTCTATTATATTATAGCTCTTCAATTTTTATTTGCGTAGGATAAAGTCATGAGACTGTCAGCAACGTATAGCAACCTCATGTGAGTAGTATTTAATTTGGGGATACTGTGGTACCCATTATAGAGTAAGATTATATTCTCCTTTTGGGGTATAGTATTTTGTATAAGGAATATCATCTTACTAGGTTCAACCACTAAAAAAAACACTACTCATGCGGTACTGGCTGTTGAGACTGCAAATAGACATTGGGAAAAGCGGCTGAGCTGGGGGAGTAGGCAATTCCCAACTTGATGCCTGAGCCGGGTTTATATAGGGAAAATATAGTGGTTATATATTGATTATATAGGGATGATATAGGGGTGATATTAGGATTATATAGGGAAACATAGGGATGATATAGGGGTTATGTAGGGACAATGGAAAGAACATGAAAATTATTATGGTATGGCTGCAGGTTGGAAAGCTGCTCATCCTGAATTCAGAAGATCAGCTGGTGTCCATGGTCACGCGAAGTGACCTGAAAAAGGTCAGGGACTTTCCAGGCTGGGTCATTCTGTGCTTAGTAAGAATAGTCGTAGTACTAAAAGAATAGTAGTAATAATAGCCGTAGAAATAAAAGTAGAGGTGGAGTTGACACGTGACGACATTGAACTGCTCACATTGGCCATGTCTAAAGTACTTGGCGAAACTGAGCTTCAAGAACGATTGTAGTTTCCATGTTCTTTTCCATTATCCCTACACAACCCCTACATTACTCCCATGTAAACCGATATAATCCCTATATAACCCATTATCCCCTAATTTTGGGAGACCCCTAAACCGTAAACCCCAAACCCTAAACCAAGCCCTCAACCCTAAACCCCCCATGCCGTGCTTGCTTGTGCAATGCGCGTGTCAAAAAAAAACCCATGCCCTGCCCTGGTCCAGACATGTCCCGGGACTTGAGCGGCAAGCTTCTGGTCGGTGCTGCTGTGCCGGCATTGCCGGATGGCTCGCAGGACAGATATGGGGGGTGTTTTCCAAAATCCGAAATACCTTCAAAGGTAGGGATATATAGGGTTTGGGGGGTTCGCAAAATTGGTGGTGATGTGGGGTTTTGTAAAGGTAATGAAAAGAAAATGGAAACTACTATTTAGGGTTTACGGTTTTCCAAAAATAGGAGTACCTTCTTGGGCGTCCCCATAATAAGGATTCTCATATTTGGGGGTCTGTATTGGAGACCCCTATATTGGGAAGCTCCACCTGTGAGACGCCTCTTTTTATCGGCGTCATGCGCTGGCAGCACCATCTTCTTCTTCCGCTTCGGAAGCGCCAAGCTCCGTTTAATTAAAGCTTGCTACAGGCTTGAACCATCCCTCTTGGAAAGGAGAACATCCCGACAAGAAGCTTCAAAAGATAATTAGGCAAGCAACTCAAAAATAAGCCTAGTTTCCATTTTATGTTCCATCTTCTTTTCCATTTGATTCTCCATTATTGGGCTAATGTCTATATCCCCTAACTCTGGGAAAGACAAGAATACAACCCATTATAGTAGTTTCCATGTTCTTTTCCACTATCCCTGTAGTAGCTTTTTATAACCCATAATCGTCGTTTCCATTTTCTTTTCCATTATGCCTATATAACAGTATAGCCCCCCTTAAGTAGATAGAATATGGCTTTGGGTATATTATAATAAGATCCCCATATCCCCCATTCTACTTAGGGGGGATTATAGACAACCAAGCCTGTCTTCAGGATTGGCCTCGGGCAAGTGCCTTGGCAGAGGCAGGAGCTGGGGATGCTTTCTGCTTGAAGCCGAACTCTCAAACCTACCTGCCACTTGATGAGCTCCCAACATTAGTGTATATAGGGGCTATATAGGGGTATATAGGATTATATAAGGGTTATGTAGGGTTATATGGGTAATTCCCAAAATTATGGTCCCATTTTGGTACCCCTAAATATCAGGTGCCATAGTATCATCTATAACCAAAAGGGGCCCATAGTTTTGAGAACAACCCACTTCGCAATGTAGGCCGGCGCAAACGTGCTTTATCTCTTTGGCGATGGTGTAGATGAGCAACTCTCACTGTCAGGCACTTAGCCTGGGATGTGACTTTATCCCCATATAACCCCGACATACACCCTATATAACCCCTATAATCCCTGTAGTTTCCATTTTCTTGTCCATTATCCTTTTATAACCCAATATAGGTATATGGATTCTATAACCCCTACAATCCCGGTGGTTTTCATTTTCTTTTCCATTGTCCCTTTATAACCCAATATAGGTGTATGGATTCCTGCCCCTTGCCCAACGATGCCGCAGCTTGCAAGATGTTTTCAGTCACCTACTTGTGCTTCATCCCTTGTTTGGATCGCGCGCCAGATTCGTGCGCTCCGCCCTGTCCAAGTTGATATCCCTCCAGGAAGTTGCGGAGTTGGACAGGTTATAGCTGCTTCTGCTACTGCTACTAGCCTAGTAGTGGGCAGGCAATCAACTCGCAATGCGCACATGTATATGCCTGCCGTGGCATTTGTTCTGGCCTCTTGTCCATGCAGCTAATTGTGAAGTCAGCGAAACTCAGCGGGGTGGTGGGGAGGTGCGTGCCGTGCACAGCTGGCAGTACTGTTGTCGTCTCGTTTCTTCGGTCTGAAACTGGTATAAAGCCGGTATGCCGGCTCGAACCCGTTTACAAATGTAAGCTGCGGGACGGGCATGTGGCATTGTTAGTATTTTGCCCACAACTTTCACTTGCCCAAGTTGCACAAATTTGGGCGGACCGGCTCTCTTCATCTGAAACGTTGCTTTCCCATATGCTTTGCAAGGGACTCGGCAGTGTTGTAAATCTCTTGCTTGCCAGACCCCTGGCTACGTCGAGATCTGTGCTCCCACATAGGTTGTCATCATATATATATATATATGGCCGCAACGTCCATCAGCCGGAAAGCAAAACGCCAACGCCATCGAAGCACGGTGGACCTGTGCCATGAAAGGAGCGAACATGGGCCAGATACAGGGGAGGCATGGACACGGAAGATTCAGTGATTCAAAATTTGCGCCGGGATGCGCCGGGACTCCAAGATGGTTCTCCTTTTGGGGGCATCGTCAATTTCAAATGAGTAGAAGTGTTCGGTGAAGCTCATGCACACAAGCCGAGGCATCACGGCAGCAAACATGCAAGATAAGCTAGTAAGGTATCTAAGAGCAAAGCCCGGAACTCCCATTGGCTCAGCATCTCATTGCCAGAAATAGTCAGGCTGCAGGCACACACTAGCCCAGAACGAACAACTTGAGCAAAGCCCGATTTGGCGGCTGGTCCTGGTAGTCGTGGCATACCACCCAACGATCCAAGGATCAAGCGCCTGAAGGCTGACTACCCTTCCGTTGACATCTTGGCGGGGCCAGCAACATCAGTCCGCGAAGCCAGGCGGTTGGTTGAGGAGCGGTTTTGACAGCCAAAGTGCAAGTAGCGCACAATTCCGACATCTGCAGCCACTCAACTCAATTCCGTTCACCGACGCAGCATTTGTGCTTGTTGAGGCAGGAGCTGATGGAATTGTGGCAGGCTCTGGCAACGATGCAGGAGCGCCCAAGAAAATTGAGGCTGGTGATGGCCCGTGCAAGCTGTTCATGCAGATCTGCGTTGGCCTGTATCTGGCCATAAAATTGCAAGAGGCCGGCAATGAAGTTTGCATGAACTGTCAGAAGAAAGTAGACAAAGGGCATCAGCTTTACTTTCACGGATATACTTTCTGAATTCTGGAGGAGCTGACCCAATCTCGGCTCCAATTGCAGTTGCGGTTGGTCGAGGCAAGTGGCAACAAGTTGGAAGCGCCCTCCATGCCCACCCTTGCACGGAAAAGGAAGCAAGAAGCTCACCAGTCACCAGCTGCTTGTGAAAACCATCAAGCCCTCAGTGTTCTTGCCGGACATGCGAGCCAGGTGAAGCCACCATGGTGTATGAGGTCGCGTATTATGTGACGCGAGCCAAAGCTGCACAAGCACATGCTCGAACGCTTTGTTCCATGCATGCACTCAGCTTCACGCACTGTATGGAGACCGTGTCTGCTGAGGCAATTACAAGCTTCCTGTTGCAGCTGCCGGCGTGCGCAGCGCATCACAGGCAACCCTGGCATAAATCCAAGCCACCTAGAAAAGAACTGCCCCCGCGGCGACCCTTGCACAGTTGTGCTGTGTGCTACCAGCATGGCAAAAGGCTGGTGACGCACTGGCGACATGTTCCGTCTTGCTTGTTGCAAGGCACTGGTGGCAATGGGCCTAGGTGCCTCTGCGGCCGCTTGGCACGAAGAGTTCTTAACGCTACCTTTGTGAACAGTCTTTGCAAGCACAGCCGGGTGCCGGCGATGCAAACACCCTTCAGCTTTGCCAAACCTGGAAAGCACGTGCCGGCAGTTTTCGACATTGCCAGGTCATGCTGAGAGAGCCACTGGCGGGCATGGATGAAGCGCCTGGTGGTAAACAGGCAGGGGCTAACGAGATGACAGTAGTGCGCTTGCAACCTCCTGTCTCAACAGCACCTGATCATGTGGCGAGATGTTCGAAGGAGAGCTTCTTCTGACCATAGCTTCTATGCCTGTCTGGAATTGGCTTTCCGCCTCTTATTGCCATGTAATTGTGGATTGGGGATCAGTTAGCCTTGACAGCTGTAGCTTCCCAATCTGCTGTCACCTCCAGTTCAGCCACTTCCATCATAGAAGCTGCGTCGTGTACAAGCACTGTGGATTACCACGGTATTGCCGAATGTCACATACTAATGGAATTTCGTTCGTGCAGGCCACCCTGCCTGTGCATCACGCAAACAGCCTGGTGCGGTCCTTAAAGCGTCAAAACGTTTCTGCAGAAAACTTGTAGTGTCTGCTTTGCGGCTTTGCGTCGTTCATGTGTGATACAGAGACGTGGTGACACCACGCTTCCCGGAACTGCGCAGGTGCAAAGCTGCGCATCCAAGTATGCTTCGAGCCGCGCATGGGAACGACAGGCTTCTCACCAGTCACTAGACAAGCCTCGATTGAGCATCAGATGCCATCATTTCTCATGTCGATTTGGTAGTTTCCCAAAAAAGGGAGACCCCAATATAGACCCCCAAATACTATAGTCCTTATTATAAAGACCCCAGACCCCCAAAATGGTACCCCTAGT